ATACATGGATGTACATATGCATCTATGTATATGTAAGCTAGCTAAGCTGATCGAGAGGTTTGCCTACTCATATTTTGGGTAGCTGGCAATTAGCAACTGGCGACAAATTGACGAGCTCACAGGATCGAATCCTTCGTCTAAGGACCACCTGCTGTGGCCTTTTTGTGCGAAAATCTCTTCAGTTGTTGTTGTTGTTGCCGATGTTGTGATTGGCTTTGGCCAAGTGGCTTGTGGCAATAATATTTGTGCCCAATCGACCTGCTCGCTACCTGTTGAGTCGTCGCGACGGCGGCTAATGAAGTCGCAACAGCTAAATGACTCAGTTATTATTCTTCTCCCCCTTTTTTTTTTTTTTTGCTTAGCTAAATCTGCGCAGCATCTAGAACTCAGCTAGCTCTGCCTCTCTCAGCCAGCTCGTTAGCCGTGTCTAGACAGCGTCTGGCACAGCCGGCGGCGCTGCATAATGCAAGGACGAACCGCATGCCACATGCCACATAGATATTAGTCCTGCCACGTTGACAGGATATTCATCCAACGCCCAGCTGCTCCCAATTAACACGCCAGCAGCTCACCTATAAACAACACGCTGAAGTGTACGCAAATGATGTGCTCGAAGATACCCTGTAAAAATATGTGAGCTATGCAAATGAGGCGTGATAGAACTTGTTTATGTAGAGTATGTGTAATGAGAGAAATATGCTAAACTGTGACTATAGACTAGACTAATTAACTTACAGGGTATTACATGCCTAGTTATCCATAGTAATTCCCATAAAATATCTCTTGTTTACAGGGCATTTAAAATGAGATAGCTGAAATATTCATCAATTATCTCAAATTTGATTGCCTCTCAAACACGCTCAGTTCTAGCAAACACACTGCCAAAGTAAACTACCCCAAGTATGTGCGCCCATGCACTAGTTAACAGGGTATTAAAAGCCCGGTGGCCCGTTGGTCCGCTGCTCGCAGTCATTGGCCGCCACTCGATACGCAGCGGCTGCAGCGCAACGGTAAAAATGCAATACAAATAACGGCAGCCGGCCAACGAAAGAAAAAAAAAATAACATAAATGGTGCAGATGCAATACAGGACGCAGTACGTCCGCAGGACGCTTGCAGGACCCTCTCTCTCGCTGCTGCGTTTTCTCACTCAATTAGGGTAGCAAAAATAGTGAGAATCGAGGCGGCTGCGCACATTTGCCTAAATATATTTCCCTGCTACCAGCCCCTCACCCCCTGCAACCCTCTGGCCGACTGGCGAGAAAAAATGTTGTAGCATATGCCGCGGCGTGCGGCGCAGTTGTTATCCTTGCTGGCATTGTTAATCGTATCCTGCGTAATAGCATAATAATCCCTAATCGCATCTGATCTGTTCACCTGGTTGCCGCACACTCGCTCTTGCTCTCCCTCTCTTTCTCTCTCTCTCTCTGTCTCTCTCTCTCTCTGTGTGTGTGTTTCTGTGTGACGGCTGCACATTTTCATCGATATCCTTTGGCAGCTTTACAAATAGCGCGACGCGTCCTTTGTGCGCCTTTTTGTCGCCGTCCTTTTATAATAGGCAGGGGTTATTTTGACAGCAGTTCATTTGCCTTCTGCCTTCTGCAATGCCATTGACATTTGTCACACACTCGCACTCACACACACACACTCATACACACACAGAGACAACTGCTCGCCTGATCCTCGCTGTTTCAAACATTTGGAGTGAGCTCCGTTTCACAATGTGTCGACTTTTATTTGGCTTCCAGTCCCATTTGTTCCATGTGCGGCTGCATTTCCCTTTCCATTATGTTGCTGCTGTTGTTCTCGTTGCTGTCTCTGTGGCTTCTAGGATAAATGGAGACGCCTGACTAATGCGTATTTACATTTAGGTAAATTAGCAGCCATTTAGTGGTTAACTCATTAATAACAATAATCAATTCAGTTTGTTTGCTTCTGATCTGCTAATACACTTGAGCTTGTTAACATTTTCAATTTAATTTACATACGAAGCATTTTCAGCTCATATTCACAGCTCTGTTTTCTTACAATTACAATTCGGTTACAATGCCGCAACACTTCGTCATCTGTCCTTGATTGAATAACTGATCAACTTACAATTGGAAAGACGACAAAAAAAACAATCAAACAATTGCTTTCCAACATGGAAGCTTTTCAATGAGCGAGTTACTCAGCAGATGCTCCAACGCATACCAATGCGCACATTAGCACAAGTGAAGCTAACTCTACATAACGTTCCCTCTCTCACTCTCTCCGTCCCGCTGTCATGCTCACGCATTTGCGTAAACAAAGCAAAAAGGCCATTCCAGTTGAAGTTCTCATTCCCACGCATTGCTGCTGATTGTTGTTGATTTTGTCTCTTTTTTTTTTTTGCGCAAACAGACAAAATAAACAAAAGCTCTACGAGTGCCGCTTATTGGAAGCGCTTTGACTGCTTGAATTAGTATTCAGTTACCATAACAACCAAAGGCCGGATGCGAGCGACAAGGCTACAGCGAAAAGTCGCCAAATGATATGCTGAATGCCAGTTGGGAAAGGAGAGAGGTGCACCAACACACACACTCAGATAGTCACACATATGTGTGAAGCTAAAAATAAGTCAAAGAATGAAACAAAAATGAAATGAAACAAACGGCTAGCGCAGAAATTGTCGCGCCGAATTCATTAATGAGATTCGCGTATGCAGCATGTCAACAAGCTAGAAAGGGACGGCAGCAGTGCGAGGGGAATTTACGCGGAGGAGAGGTGGGGTTGTCACCCTTCAGGTTTTCTTTTTAATGGCCTAGACGCGGACACTGGTTGAGTGACGCGTATTGGATTTCGACATGCTATGCACGCGGCATGCGGCATGCATATCTGCAACGCCATCTAGCAAGGTGCCTCTTGCCCCTGCTCCGTCTAGCCAGACTCCCAGCTTCAGCTTCAGCAACAGCTCTGGCTTCAGCTCTAGGTCTACTGATTGACATGTGATCGCAACGCTTTGCATCGCAAGTTCTATTCCCCCGACTGTCCCCTGCCCGTTGCCACTTCCAGTCTGCTTCCACTCTGTGCTTAACCTGTTGCATCTGCTTGCGTCGTCTTCGTCGCTGCTCATTTGTCATTCATGCGAAACACTAAAGAGTCGTAAAGCAAGTCCTGCCCGCCTGGCAGCAGAGGAGGCAGAGGCAAAAAAAACTCTTGGCGAAGTCATAAAATTATGATCGGTATTTTTGCTGGAAATTTGAACTGTTTGTTGGCTTGGTTATATTATTTTTTGCTAGCATTTTTTATGTTTTCCATTTTTTTTTTTTAATTATTGCAGTTTAGATTTTCGACACGGTTTCTTGTGTATTTCATGCAACACCTTCGTTGCCTTACTTGGAAATTCGCGCGAAATTCCACAGCGAAGATTACAGTTTCCTTCCAGATGCTCCCCTCGCGCTCTTTCTCTGATTGGCGCTAATTTGAGTCAATGAATATAATTTTTGGAGAGTAATGCGTCTCGCTCACTCTTGCCTTTTAGTGAATGAATGCTGCGCTTCAATTAGCTCTTGAAGTGCTCCACTGCAGTGGAACGCAGACTATTGCCAGACGTGTCATTTTTCACAAACAGGCCTCACTTTCAATGAGCATTTCCCTCACATTTCCTCAATGGGCGGCAGTCTCAAATCCACATCAACATCCACAGTCAAATACAAACACAAATCAAACACTCGACTGGCGTCGTTGTCGCCTTCGTCGTCGTTGTCATTGTCGTTGTGGTTCGTGGTCTCGTGTAATATGATCGTGATTTCATGCCCAGCAGAAACCCTACAAGTTGTTCTACTATGTGGGAGCGGAGTCAAGAGAGACGGGGCAACTCATACACACATACACAGAGAGATGAATGTATCTGGTCGCTGATACCATAAACCCAAATTAAGATAAGCCACGAAGAAAGAAAGAATATAACTTCTCATACTTTGAATCTTTTTCATTCACAAAATCACATCGTATGTGCAGAGAGGGAGAGTATGATTGCGAGAGTTGCTGAGTGAAATGTAGATCCAGAGAGTGCATGCATTGCAGCCGACCAATCGCAGCACAGTTGTGGAAGCTGGGGAAATTCTACAGAAGTTGTAGCATCCACAATTTCCACAAATGTTGAGCGTTGTGGCATTTAAGTGGAAGCCAAATGGACTCTACACAGAGTTGAGAGCTGGCACCTCAACTTTAAGCTGTTGGAAGCTGGGGAAACAGCTCAATCCGTAAAGACTTTTTGCAGATACATACATGTATATATTTGCACTCCACTTATTAAAACTCACACATATTAAAACTCACACATTTATCAGTCAACATTTATTTATCCATCTCAATTCAACAACATCCACAAGGTGGCGCATTGCCCCTTTCAGCATTCATAATACACAGATGCGACTCTACATACAGTTGCTGCTGCTCTACACATCTCACCTCTGAATTACCCCGCCAACATGAGAGCCACAACTGAGATTGACTTCAATTCGACACGGAATTACTCTCCAACTGTTTGAGATCCTGTGGTCAGGCTCTACACACCATTGCCCCTTTTATATCCACAGAAATTTTCCAACGCAGCTCTGGTGCTCTCTCACTCTCCCGCTCTGCGATAGGCGGAGCCATTTTGTTCGCGCTCGTGTGAACGTTCGTATTTTCACTCTTCGAGAGGGCTGATTGCAAAGTTTATCATAAGAAATAATTTTATTAGAAATTTTAAGAACTTTGTATATTGTACTTAATAAGAAATAATTATATATGTATATATTTAATAAATATAAACTATATTTTAAGGGGAAAAAAATGACAATGCGTTTCCCCTCTTTGCTGCGTGGAACGAGTTTTCTGCTGACTCTGTTGGTGGTTGGTTGATTTTGTTTGGTCAGAGAGAGCGGAGAGTGAGAGCGTTAGCACGAGAGCGAGCGTCGTCTTCGTATCTGTTACACACGAAGTACTCGACGTTCGGCTCTTTCACGGGTATAAAAGCGACACTCGGCTCGCTCTCACATCCAAATAGAAATTTATCGTGTTCGTTAGAGGTTGTTGCTTCTCCGCGCAAGAAGAAAAGAATAATAAAGAAATCAAATAAATTTAACCCATAGCAAACGCAAAATTGAGCAACACTCGACAACAAATGCAATAGAAAACACGCTGGATTAAAGTGTTTTGTTTTGTTGATCAAAGTCAAATTCAAATGCAAATGCAACAACAGGGCAAAAAGTGCGTGTAAAGTGGAAAAACAAAAATTTAAATAAACAAAAAAAAATCAAAGTCAAACAAAACTCGCAGCTAAACCAAAACACATCAAAGTTGAATTTTGAAAGAAGTTAACTTCGATTTATTGAAACCTCGCAAGTAACCGGTAAAAGCCGTGTAAAAAGCCGCCAAAATTCTACTCAAAGAGCGTAAAGCGATCATCTCAAAAATGAAGTCCTTGACGGCCGTTTGCCAAACAGGTGCCTCGATGCCGGCAATGAATCCTAATGGCCGCATCGCCCGCCATCCACCGCATCGCGGCGACGGCGAGAATGCCGAAATGAAGATGTATCTCTCGAAGCTGAAAGACCTGGTGCCGTTCATGCCGAAGAACCGCAAACTCTCCAAACTGGAAATCATCCAGCACGTCATCGACTACATCTGCGATCTGCAAACGGAGCTGGAAACCCATCCGGAGATCAATAATTTCGATGCTGCTGCCGCTTTGAGTGGCGTCGCCGCAGCAGCAGCTGCCGGCGGCTCCGAAGATGAGGATGAGAGCGATGAGATGGATCTCGACGCAGCCGATGATGTATTGGCCCAGCGCCTGGCCGCCGAGCAGGAGCAGCTAGCCAAAATCTCTAGTCCCGCTGCCGCCCGCCTGCCGCTCGCCGATCGTCAGAGTCCCAACACAATTCTGCCAACAGCCGCAGCCACAGCAACAACGCTGGCGTCCGCAACAGCGGCAGCACCGGCGCCCCAACAGCAGCAGCAGCAGCCGCTGCCCAACAGTTTAGCGACGGTAAGTTGGGCGCCTGCGTCCCCACCCACCCACATTGGGTTTTCTGTTTCTGCTTTGAATTTGCATTGCAAATGAAATGTCGCAGCTTTGACGTCGTCCCAAAAAACAAAAATAAAGAGACAAAATGAAAACATCGAACAAAATTTACACATGCAAGCGAATTAAGCAAGCGGCGATAGCGCGACTTTTTTGCATTGTTGTTTTTGTGACCTCATTTGCTGCTAAGCAGCGTAAGGACGTTTCGGCCGTCCGTTTGTTCGTTTGTCGGCATTTACATTTCTCGCCTTAAAAATATAATTCATTTTATTTGCATGCGCTTGTGTGTGAGTGTGCGAAATTTACATTCTTTCGCCTTGCTTTCTTTTCGCTGCAACAGCAACAACAACAGCTACTACTACAATAATAAATCTCGCACAATTTCATTTTGTTTTTGTAGACATTTCACATATTTTTCGCTGTCGCCGTTTCTTTCTTTCTTTTGTTGTAGCTGCGACCGCGACTGCGGCGTAGCTGTTAATTTTGTGTTTTTTTCTCGCGGCCTTTTTTTTTGTCTTCCTCTCTTCTTCCATTTTGTTGCTGTCTGTGATGTTTTAAATGAACACCTGCAGATACTTAAATTTATTTCATATGTGTGTGTTTGTAAGCAACTAAACACTCACACACACATGCATACATATTATATACAGTCACACGCACTGAGGCTAACGCAGCTTTAAGCTTGACTTCGACATTTGGAGAATTGGAGAATCATCCGTCAGCCTCCGTTTCAGTTATTTCTGTGTGTCTGTTTACGCCTTCTTCTTCTGCTTCTTCTTCTTGCTGCTGTTACTTTGTTGCTTACTTCATTAGCGCAGTTTTTGGCATTTCTCATTGCCCGCCCGCAGCAGCATTGATTATAAATGATGTTGGCAAAAACAAAAATATATAAAAAGTATAAAAAATAATACAAAAATTGTACAACAGGTTATGAATCTGATGTATTTGTATATGCATGCATGTATGTATGTATGTATTTCTTCACAATTCGTGCTCAAACAATTCCAATAAAATTTCCCATCTTTACCCTCTCCCTCTTTCACACTTCTTTGGTGGCATTTGTTTTTGTGCAGTTGATTAATTATGCATTTGCATCTTTTTGTTCGTGTAGAAAAGTATTTAAGTAAAAAACCCCACAGCACAATTAGTCGGTCATTCAGGCCTTATGAACGGCTGTGTTGCTCTGGCAAATGAAAAAAAAAAATAAAAAAACAAGCAAGCAAGCAAAACATCTGCACTGAGATTGAGACATGCTGCCCACGCCTCAGACTCGCCGCCCTTCTACTCTCCACCCTCTCCACGACTACTGCTTTGTGTGTGTGGGTCTGTTATGATGTGTCACTCTGCTGGCTGCAAAACAACAAATTCCTTCGTAAAGGCACAGCAGCAGCGAAAAAAGAAAAAACACACACACGCATGTGTGTGTACATTCATATGCGCATATGTATGTATGTATAAGACGTAAGAAGAAATGCACGTGTTCAAAATGTTCTCGTTACGTAGTTGTTGTTGCTGCTGCTATTGCTGTGTTGCTTTGCTGTTGCTGTTCTTTTTTTGTACTTTTTCGCGCCGCGCAGCTGTGCGCCAGTCGCCAGTCGGTCGCTTTCTACATTGTGCGCACCCCTGACGTTGCCCTACTTCCTTCTCTACGTCTGTCCCTCTCCTTCTAGTAGCCGACAAAGCACTGCGGTCAGTCAACATAACAGGCAACGACATTAGAAGACGCAACAACAACAACAACTTCTCCTACAAGCTCATTTGATTTTCTTAGTCTTGCGCTGGCGCTCAGTTGGCGCCTCTTCTTTGGCCCTTCTCCTGATACGTCTCTCTGTCCGAGCAATAAAATAAAAATAAATAATAAAAAAGCAGCAACAAATTGCACACGAAGCTCGAGCGCTTCGTAAACAAACGAGACAAGTAAGAAAGCAAGAAGAAGAGCTGTAAAATAAAGAACGAAAACAACGGCAAATTAATTGATAATTCGTGATTTGTTGTGCAAGTCAGGCATACACTTATACTACGACTTTCGCCTCAAGCCTCATATGCATACACTGATACGCAATTCTTATACTTGAGACTTCGCCTTAAGCACACATGCATACACTTATACACTAAGGCTTTGCTTGCATCTGCCTCTACTGCTCACACTTATATGTACGTCGATATACACATACACATACATTTATAAAGAATACTTATATTTTTCAAATTTGACTAATTTTCGCTCTCTCGCTTATTCTCATTGCAGCAATTCAGCGGCGAAAAGGACAGCAGGCAATCGTAAAGCAGCCGACAGCAGCAGAGGCCGCGGCAGCAGTATCAACACCTACAACTAATACTAAACATTTAAAGCTATAGAAATCATATTAATTAATGTTAGTCGCAGTGTAGTACAGTCAGCTCCACTCAAAACTCAACTCCACTCAGAAACCAACTCGTGTGAAGATCTCCACAAACAACAACAACATACAACAAGCAAACAATAACAATAACATCAATGAAAAATGAATTAATTATATCTACAAATACATAGACACTGCAGCCACACACCCTCATCCCCACACAGACACAGGGCGTGTGGCTGTAAAAGCATTTCACACCAATACATTGAAAGAGTTTAGCTATAAAAACAAAACAAAACCTAAATAGCATTAAAAACAAAATGTAAGCACTAATACATTATTATTATTAACATTTAACGTTTAACATTTAACTATTAGCAGCAGTTAAGAAGTAGAAGAAGATGCAGACGTAGCAGACGAATGAAGAAGAAGAAAAGAAAAACTTGGCAAAGCTTTAAACAATTTAATTTTTCCTTTGATAAAATGAAATGAAAAACTGAATAATTTTTGTTTTCTATATATTTAGTTTTTGGTTTAATTGAAAGAAGAAAATCATGTTAATAATTTTACGAATAATAAGATGCAAAGCAAAAAAAATAAATAAAAAAATAAAAAAAATAAACAACAGCAATAAAACTAAAAAATAAAGCAAAAATTTTCATTCTCATTTTCTCAATTAAATATTTTCCTATTAATTTTAAATACATAACAAAAGCAAACTAGAAATTTTTATCCTATTATTATTTCATTTATTTATACACACACATGGAAAAAACCTCAAGGAACAATTTTCTTATCATTTAGTTTAAGCGACAGCAAAAAGTTTTCCTCCTTTTTAACTCTTGAATAATAATAATAATAATATTAATAAATATATAAATATATTTATGTTCTGTGATCTGTAGCATACTTTGTACAAAGTGTTTTTTATTTAGCATAATTATGCGTTTTAAAATATATATTTTTTCGAAAATAATTAATTATAAAAAAAAAGAAAAGCAAACAAAATGAATTAATTTTTATTTGATTTTAACATTTTCTAATCGGGCATACCACATTTTCCCAAACATGATGTAACATGATGCAAGAAAAGAGAAGCAACAAAAAATGAATTATAGATATTACAAAATAAATTACTTAAAAATACTATTCAAAGTGCAATTTGTTTGATTTTAGTTTTGTTACGGATTTTTCTCGGAAAACTTCCAATTATTGGCTACCTGGGCGGCGAAATTATGTGGAAAACAAACGACTGTTGGCTTAACGATGTGAAAACCCATTTCCCATGTAAACAAGTGCAACGTAACAACTACCGTTAGGGTAGCACTCTAGCACACACACACACATAGATAATGCGCTCGAACGAGTTTTCTCACGCATTGTCATTGTCTCCGCTGCCGCTGCCCATTAAGGGTTTCCCAGCCACAGCCTCAGGTAGACGCCCAACTGCAGTTGCACGTGTGCAAAAATGATATATATAAAGAAATTCTCTTTCGAGAAATTTTTCGAATTTTGGGTTTTTACCCACAGCTGAGGCTGAGACGCAGACTGAGCCAGAAGAGTGCAGCTGCCTCACAGTTGCTGACGTCGCTGCCAGCGTCAGCATCTGCGTCTGCGTCGCCGTCGCCGTCGCCTATTAGCGTTAATGATTGCAGCTTACAAAGCAATTGACCAATTGCCTTGGGGGCTGCGACTGAGGCAGAGACTGGAGACTGGAAACTGAGAGTGGGGCCACTCGGTGCCAGTCGCCCCATTCAAATGTCAGTTTGGCTGCCCGCAAACCAAATCAAACGCAGTCAACTGTCAATGCGTGACTTGGAGTTACCCTGTACTTCACATTTGTATGCGGTAGAGTTATAAGTGATTTCTAGAAGTAGCTAGAAAGAGGAGGAAAGAGGAAATACGTTTGTGTAAGTAAGGATTAGGTTAGCAGTTCTTGTTATTACTGATATTTGATTAAAATTTGAAGAGTACAGAATAGCGATAAATATAAATATGTATTTGTGTCAGAGACTTATAAAAGGCTTCAAATTTCAAATGCATCCATGTATGTACATATAAACTATATATTCTAATTAACTTATATACCCCAACATACCCCTTTAAAACATTACAGGGTATCTCTGCGCTTTTGTTTCACATGCATTGTGGCTGCAATTGTTTCCCCCACATTGTGGTGCGTTCTCTCTGGTATGCGCTAATTGTTTTTTTGTGCATTCTGCAATGCCAACACGAAGCTCGCGCTCGAGCCCGCAACAGCTTCCAATGGCTTCCAATGGACATGTCTCTGGAACGCTGCGACTCAAGCAACGATTACAGCAGCAACTATAGCGCTTGCTCCGACGTTTGGCAATTAGCGCGCCTAGCTCGATTTTCACCCATTTGCCGCTGTGGTTTATTATGTTTTTGTCTTTTTGTGTTTTTTGTTTTTTGGGTGCGACATGGAACGTGAAATCAGTGAAACTTGAATTACCATAAAAACTCGTGTAACAGTCAACAGCTGCGGCTGCGCAGCCGGCGAAAAACGTTGAAAAAAGGCAAACAGAAACAAAAACAATTTTTGACATAATAATTGTCAAGCTGACATTTCGAACAGCGCAGCTGACAGCTGAGCCGAGCCGAACGACTCTCAGCTCAGCATTGCCGAAGCCGAGGCCGAAGAGTCGAAAAGCCGAAGCTGCTGCGCACAGCTAGCAAAATGGGAAAGCGGAGCCGAAGGCGGCAGCGACGGCAGCCGAAGCGACAGCCAACGACGACGTCTTTGTAGGTGCGCATAAAAATTGCATTTAATTGTGATTTTCACACGAAACACAAAGCGCATGAGCAACTGGCGCCAGTTGCTGGTTGCCGAGCCGAGCCGAGCTGAGCTGAGCTGAGCAGCACGGCGGGCGGCAATTTGTGCAACTAGCGGTAAAGCGTAACTACTAAACAGCGCGAGACAGCAAAGCACACACACACACATAGAGAGCAAGAGAGAGACATAGACATAGACATAGTGGAAGGGGTTCGAGCAGAAGCTGAAATCGAAGTCGAAGTCGAAGTCGAGCCGAGTCCAAGTGCTGCTGCTGCTGCTGCTGTTGTTGCTGGTGGTGGCTTTTGGGAAACACCTGCAAAACGCAAACGCACCTGTTTTGCTAAGCAGCAGCAGCAGCAAAAAACTAAAACAAAGTCAGACACCAACGCCAGAAACAACAACAACAACAACAACAGCAATAGCAACGCGGACACGGCTCGGCAACTTTCGTGGGTTTTCAGCTGCAGCGCAGTGGAATGAGTTGAGGGGCCGGGCAAGTGGAGGGGGCCTGGTTCCAGCTGGAACTCTGCATGACTTTGTGTAATTGAAGCAGCCGCAGCAGCAGCGGCAGCGAGTTGAGTTTTCAGCTTTTGACTTTCTTGACTGTGTTAGGAAATCGAAACCGAAGCGTAGCCGTAAAGGGGGCGGCGGAGTACCACCACCAGGTGAAACCACCAGGCAGCACTGATGGGGCGGCATTTTGAGTCAGGTGCAAGTGCACATGTTGCACATATATTGGACATGTGTATCTATCGGTTATGCGTAGTTTCTGCATCGGAAGCGGCAACATCAGCTGGCGGAAGCTTTTGGGCCAGCAGCTGTCGCGCTCAGCATGCCTCATGCCCCATGTATGTATGTCGCAGGCAGCAAATGGGCGCCGCTTGCCACTGCTCTATGCGCCATGTGTGCCATGTTGCATGTGTGGCAATTGGTCAGCGCATTGATTTCAGCTGCGTCACCTTCTTTTGTGGCAACTGCAGCCGGCACAGCCGCACATGTTTGCCTAATGACAGCCGCAGCAGTGGCCCTCAGTCTTCCAGCTTTCAGCTTTCAGCTTCCAGTGGAACGACAACAACAATGGCTAGGTGCGGCAGCAACAATTGCATTGGCAACGGCAACTCAGACATTTGATCGAAAGCCAGCCGCTGCTGCGGAAGCACATACTTCAAACAGTGGAACAGACTGTGCTGTGTGGCATGCCACATGTTGCCACTGCCGCTGCCAAAAGGCGCTGATTAAGATCGCTTGCAACGGCTCCTGTCTGCCAACACTTCACATGCCAAACGAAAATGAAAACTGAGAAGGCGTAAAAAGATAAAAGCTTGAAAAATTGCATCTTAAACTTTGTATCTAAACAATCGAAAATTGTATCTTAAGCAGCTGCTGAGAGGTTTTTCCATTGCAGATCTCTCTGAAATGTCTCTTTGGCATTTTATGAAAAGTTTAAGATATATTAAATGAACTTTAATGATATATGAGAGGTACATATTGATTGCAATATTTATGGAATTTAGCTTTGGCATTATATGAACAGTTTTCATTGTATCTAAGATATATTAAATGTATATTCAAAGAGATCTGATAAATTTGAATAATATCTAAAAGATGGCTAATGTATCTGAAACATTTACAGGAAAGTTTGCATTGTATCTTAGCCATAGTAAATTTATCTTTAAGAGTGAATGGGTGATAAAGAATGTAGGATAGGTATATTAAATATATTTGAGATATTTTCATTACCTTTAAGCTATATTCAATAGATTGAATACTGGAAAAGATATATATGTTATATATCATAAGATATATGAATCGATATCAATTTGACAGTGTTAGTCTTTTTTATTTGAAGAGAAGTAGCTTATACCTCATATACCTGTTTATCCAATTGTCAAAATCCTGTCTGAGATCTGAGATCAGCTAGATCTGTCTATTAAGGTGAGCATGTACCTAGATCTATCTTTATCTATATATACATACATATCCATCTATGTATCGATCTATTTACCAATATATACTTATCTACCTTCAAAAGTCTACTCTTTTATCTCCATATCTCGTTTACTTATCCACATATCCATTATTTATCTACATTTATCTAGCTATCCACCTACGTATATATCCAATACTCTATAGCTAAATCTTTGATTGTAATGCAACATTGTTGCCATATTGATGGGTTAATTGAATTATAAATCACACAAGAAATCCGGATACTTAATCTTGCAGCTAATAATTGGTCAAAATATGCAAAATAAAAGTCAACTTCATTAAAGCCCATAAAAATATGCGCAATAAATTGCGAAAAGCGTTAAATAAATTATGCGGCAAATAAGAGGAAGGAAAAACAAAAATAAAATGGAAAACGGAAAATGCAAAAAAAAGAGAAAAAACAAAAAATTGAATGTTATGCAGCAGAGCGCAAATATTTATAGGAGCTGCCAATTGCCAGTTGCCAATTGCTGGATGCGATTTTTTAAATTTTTTTTTTTTTAGCTTCAGGTTTTCTTTTGGGCGCTGACGTTTGACAACAATGTGGCCAAAATGCTGATCCGCCGAGCTGCGGATCACAGAGCCAATGACAAGGAGGAGGCGGCAGCGTTGGCGTTGCCAGCTGCTGCTGCTGCTGTTGCCGCTGTTGCATCTGCAT